ACTTGCGAAAGTCATTCGGGTATTCGATGTATTCATCTTTGTTACACGGTAAACATTTGCTGGAGCTGTTTTGCCCTTTACAGTGCTCTGCAACGTAGTTCCCTGCAAGGGTAGAGGAGAAAGAAAAGGCGTATCTGTGAACGCACAGCACAGGGCAGCGATGCCTCTGCACAGAGGGAGTTGATTCCACCGCCAGTGAAGTTAAGAGGCGAATTAGGAACCAACAAAAGGAAAATGTTCCCATCATGAGTCCTTAGATCTCATGACGGTGGAGCAGGGGAGAGCTGGAGCACCCGCTGCCTCCTCGCAAGGAGCAGGGGCACGCCGGCTCTGCAGGCGGAAAGACGGCGAGGTTGCCCACGGCGTGATGGATGTCTGAGACCATCTTACCCGCGGGACACTTCCTGCAATAGCGATTGCTGTTCTGGACTTGGTAAAACTCTTCTCCTCCCCTGCTTGGGTCCAAGGGATCCAACTTGTCCCTCCTATCCAGTGTTGCTGCAGCAGTCTCCAAAGCAGCCACCTGTTAAAAACAAAATACAGAAAAACCTGGGTTACAAACCACCCCAAGTCCACGGGGCAAGGGAAGAAAGAGAAGGGCAAGAGCTGCTCTGCCCAGTGCGCTCAGGAGCTCTGGGATGGCTCAGAGCCGCTGGACCCAGCAGCCAAACCTCCCCCTGATGCAGGTGAAGGGCATTTCCCCCGTACGGGGTGGTTATTTCCTTGGCAAAGCATAAGGAGGAGGTTTGCAGAGGGATTCCCGTCCGCCAGGTTATCAGCAAGGCAAAGGCTCGCTAAGGCTTCCTTAGGATAACATCAGGTCCCTTTTCCTTCCCCAATTTCTGAGCCAACAGCACCGAAGAAAATGGAAGGGTAGGGAAGAGGAACAGGGAGGGCGTTTGTGGGGAGGAAACCGGCCCCGTGTCAAGGCTGGTACATGGCTCCTGTGCCCACAAGAAACACCCGGGCTGCTCCGGGCTCCCAGGGGACAGCACGGCCTCCGACGTTTCCGCATTATCCCCCGTTATCTTGCTGTGGATCGGGAAGCCAACGGCCCCGTTTCCGCCAGCTCACCGCGCACCTTTCTGCTGGCTCAGCTCTTTCTGCACCCGCTGGGTCACTCCAGCTGCGGGGGGACGATGCTCGACAGGAACCCACTCACCCCATCAGGGTTTGGGAGGCTTTTGGGTACCCCAGTGTCCCTAAGGGACAATGCCCTTGGCCTCTCAAGCAGCACAGGACACAGCTGCTCCATGGATATAAACGGATACCAACCTGTCCCTCTACCCTGGGCTACAGGGAGTGACGATGCCCGGCCATAACAGCCTGGCAGAGGCACTTTCCCCTTCCCCTCCCACTCGCCGAGCATGAAACCTGCCTCTTAAAGCAAATATTTCTTCTGTGAGTCAGAAGCTGCCTTGAAAGGCTGAAACAATAAGAGACAAGCCATCCCGCCGTCCCCTGGGCCAGCCTGGCCAACTACAGAGCCGATCCCCCCCTCCTCCTCCTTCCCGGACACTTCCCGCGCTCGTACAAGGATGGGTGTGAGTGCCAAAACTTGGGGTGGTCACGGGGCTCCAGAGGCTGACGCAGCCCCACAACC